TTTCTTTTAAAAAAACTTATGGAATGTCCCGTAGCTGCATTAATTGAATCACGGCTAAAATCTAGGCGGAGATTTTCGCAGAGAGCTTGCAGGTAATGAACATTGAGGAACGGATTGATCCGGCCTTTATCGGCACACTGTCACAGTTACGTGTTGTCAGTCAAAGCTAAAATCTATTCCTAATTTTCTTCTCTTTTTTCAATTTCTTTTTGATTTGCTGGGAGATTTAATTTTTCGCTCTGCCTCGAGCTTTATTGAGAGAAGAATCCGGTCCACAATATGACAGCTTGTTTTGAGTCATTTACGAGTTCGTGACACGATGAAGGCTTAAAAACTAACTTTGTGCAATTGTTACTTTTATAGTCTGAGTATGAGTATCCCAAAATACATTACAATATTGCACCTCAATAATAATAAGTAATAAGTACCCTATTTTAAAGTATTTAAAATAAGGTCAGCATTTGATGTCTTTCAGCAGATTTTAACTATTTTATGTACAATCTGTTTTTATAGTCAGAGTGTTGTGTGCCCAAAATACAATTCAAATATACCTCAAAACAGTGTTTAAGTACCCTATTTAAAAGTATTTGAAATGCGGTCAGTAGTTAAGGACTTAAAACATATTTCAAATAGTCTATTTGAACTCTGTTTGTAACTTTGTGAGTGGATGCGTCTCAAAATACATTTTCGATACAACTCAAAACAGTGTTAAAATACCCTATTTAAAAGTATTTAAGGTACGGTCAGCATTTAGGCTCTCAAAACATATTTCAAATAGTCTATTTGAACTCTGTTTGTAACTTTGTGAGTGGATGCGCCTAAAAATACATTGTAGATGCAACTCAAAACAGTGTTAAAGTACCCTATTTAAAAGTATTTAAAAAACAGTCGCATTTAAGCCCTTAAAACATATTTCAAATAGTCTATTTGAACTTTGTTTGTAACAGTGTTAGTAGTTCTATGCCCAAAATACATTTGAAATACCCTATTTTAATCATATTTATTAAACAAAATACATTGTAAATTGATGAGAGAAGTTTTCATTTTGATGAAATATAATTTAACTACACTTAAGATATATTCCAAACAGGGGCGAAAATTTAAATTTTTTTGTCAAATAGGTTTAAAATACAGGAAAATAGTATTCAAATACCGAAAATACATTTTAAACACTTTAAAATCAGTTTCAAAATACATATGGTTTGGTAAGGGATATTTCCCAAGGTAAATTTATCTCGGGACAGTCCCGTCACACGCACCACGCCAATTCCCCGCTGTAAAAGGCGGTAATTTACCACGGTAAAAGTGTCCCGTGCAACTGCACCTATTGTTAAACTTTTGTTGAAAAAAAACCTACAGATCAATGAAGCATGCACGAATACAGTCTAATTGATTCAAACTTCAGCTCTTTAAACAACTTTGAAACTTAACATTTCTCACTTTTGATAACGGTGTTTGAAACATCGAAACGTTGAGTAACGTTTTTAAGTTCAGTTTTTCCTTATATATACAAACTAAATTAGATTAAAAACTTATACAAGAAATCATTAGAAAAAAGTATATTTACCAGTCACTGAATGAGCTTCAAAGCTGCTTTTCTTAAAAAATTCTTTGCTTCCCTTTGGAACTCCAATCTAGGAAGGAAATTTTTAAATGATAAAGCTGCGAACGAGCAAAGAGATTGAAACTGTAGATAGTGAGAAAATAAAGAGTCAAACAAAAACTAGGTGTTCACGAAATGGCTAAACTGTGATTAATGAACCTGGAAAGTATCGCTCTGGACCCGTCAAATGCGAATTTTCCTTTTCAATTTTTTTAGAATAATTATGCAGCTTTACGAAGAGCATATTTAGATATCAATACATCAGTAATAAAGGAATAGCTGAAGGAACAGAAAACTAACCCCTTTGGGCTGAGTAAACGTCAAAGATAAAAACAATGGTGCTGCACTCCCTGAGGCTGATGGAGAGCAATCTTTTTGTAAGGGCAACCGGATTTTAGAATCCAGGAAATTTTGGTCTGTGGAATTCGGAATCCGGAAAAAAATGCTTGTGGAATCCGGAATACAGCTCAAGGAAACTAGTTTCACTGACAAAGACTGGAATTCAGTATAGCAATTAAACCTTAAATTCTATGAAATGCGCTCTCAGTGGTGCCGTGCTCTGAATGAAAATTGCCATATCAAAATGCCCCCCCAAAATACTTGATCTATGAGATGTGCCTGCTCTTCGTTATTTTTCGATGCCCGTAGACTGTCAGCAGCTGAACAACGGTTTGCTTTGAACGCCGATCAACATCGAAAGGCAAATATCACTATTTTTATTGTTCTTGTTAAAATTTTCAGCGCTGACACATTTTCCAGGACCGTTTGTAGTACTATACAGTATGTTGCCCAGTATTCGGACGGTACCGGACACTTAAAACAAAAACTCACTTTTTGAGGCGCCGTTTCAGTTCTCAGTAAACGAAGTATTTCGAATGAAAGCTGGACATTTCATCTTTAAGACGAAAGTTTTGGCGAGTTTAAAGCTTGTGAAACACTCACAGAAGACGTCGTTCTGTTCAGGTGAGTAAACTTTTCATGGCTAATATTTACGCTGTTTACTGCGCAGTAAAATTAGTACTGCTCAGAAAAGGGTAGGTAATATGTGATATTTTCAAAGAAACTGTTTTATATTTAAAGTGAAGATACTTAAAGAAGTCGGGTTCTCAAAGAGTTTATTAATTCTTCTTGAAATTCAATTTGTTTGGAATAACGGAGGCCAGAAACATTCATTAAGTATTGATGTCAGGTGCCCAGTATCCGGAGAGTTTTTTTCTTTGCCGTACAGAATCGATGAATTAACTGTGTACATTATCCGGATAAGATTTACTTCATATCTATAACTATAATTAAAGCTTAAAATATATGATATAGTCGTAAAATGTAATGACTAGTCAACTCCGTATGGAAATATTCTTCACTCATTCAGAGGCGACTTGATTTCGTGCGCACTGCTTGTTTCGCGTGACTGCATTTTCTATATATAAGCGAAAGCGCCGGAGTTGAACCTGGAATTCTCATACTTTCCCCAGTTGTGACTGCTAGAATGGGGTTGCAACGGTCTGAAAAATGTCATAAAGGGATTGAGAGATGTGAAAGAAGGAGGAATTAGTGCTAGAATAGCAGGCTTATTGTGAGCATGACTGAGCATGAAGAAATCGTGTCGGATAGAGGTCCCTTCCCCAAGCTTTTTCTTTTAAAATAAAAAATGAAGAAAAAAAGTCGTTTGCAGATTGGCTAATTGAGCTTGCAAACCACGGCTTCGGTATGTCCACGGATGCGGCATGCTTTTCTTAAATCAGTGAAAAAGTTCCTAAGACAAGGAAGTAAGAATTATACCATTTAACAGCCGCTCGTGTTCCTCATCATACCCCAGTCATTTGTTGTGTTTTATTTCACGATGCTATTGTAGGTTATATTTTTGGAATCGATTGTCAGACTACTTTGCAAGTGCAAGAGAAGCTTATAAGTCGCTTGCCTGTCGCAATTTATGTACAATTACTCTATTATTGTTGTGTCCGGATACTGGGTCAGCTGTCCGGATACTGGGCAACATAGGAGCTCTGCAAAAATATTAATTTAGCGATGGAGACAAAGGCAAAGAAGTAAAACTGTCTTTCGTCATATTAAGGACTAAATAGATTTTCTCTGGGCAAAATTTCAGAGCTCTTACGACAAACAACAGAAACAAAGGAAAGTTATTGCAATGTTAAACTGAAGTGTCCGGATACTGGGCAACATACTGTATATAGTTTCATTAATTCATTGGCTGTTTTGCTTTTGCGAGTCGTCAAGCCTGCTTCCGGGAATTGAAAGTTAAGCTATGAAGAATGAGTAAAGAAAACATGTTGGCTTTGTTTCCGACTTGGTGTCTTCAGGCCCCGGTCGTTCAAACGTCGGATAGCGCTATCCACCGGATAAATCACTGTCTAGCGGATAGCGTAATTGATTTCCGTAATACTTATCCGCTGGATAGTGATTTATCCGGTGGATAGCGCTATCCAACGCTTGAACAACCGGGGCCTGGTGTCTTAATCCTCGGAGGTACAACGAGGGGTGGTTATGCCAGAATTCCCAAATTATGCTCCTGATTTCCAAAATTATGCTCACAAAATGACGTAGATTCGGTACATATAGGCGCGCAATAACGACACCAAATTATGATGTTTTTCAAATAAACTGTTGTTGTAACTTTATTTGTGTTTTATGGCAGTTTATCTCGGCCCGCAGCTGTCCAAATTAGCTGCTCGCATCTCTGAACCGTTTGTAAAATGCCTTCAAAGACTTAACGATCATACTTGCATATACTGACTGAACCAAAAGAATATAGTACTCTCTTGATTTAAACTAACTCAAACTATAGCGAACTATAACGTTGAAAGAATCAAACCACGAAGTAAATCAACTTGTCTAGAAAGTTCTGAGTTCTTTCAGCACCAATAATTGCTTGAATAAACATGTATAAGAATAGTTTACACAAGTCAACATCAGCGCTTATTGTCCTGCAACACTACGCTGGCCAGGAGATAGTCTGCCAGAACGCTGTACTGCTGATCGTTAAATGACGCTGAGAGTAGCTAGAGAGAAGGCTCGCTCAGCTGCAGCAGAGGAAGGCTGCACCAATAGTACCTGCTTCACTCCGGCTGATTTAATTTATTTCTGTAGAAAATACACCATATTTACTAAATTTTAAGAATTTATGCTCCAAAAAGGGCTAAAATTCGCTAATTATGCCGTGGCAGTGCTCGTTTAAAGAGTTATGCTTTTTTACTCCAATTATGCCAAAAATTATGCTAGCACAATCCGCCAAGGCCTAATACCGCTAAGAAAAAACCTATAAAAAAGCAATCTGATCATTCAACTAGTGTTTGTAGGCTGTATAGGGTTTTGCCGATACGACTTAGAGTTTCTTCGTTTCCTTGTTAGAACTTTTAAAAATATATAAACTCTTAAGTGGCTATTGTACCTTTTTGCCAAACTCGTCATCCAGGGAGCGCAGGTTTTCAGAGGTGATGGTCGAGGAAACCTGGGCAGTAATGATTGACATTAACATCAATCCGACGATCATCCACAGCGAAGCATATGCTCGAGCAAGTGTGGATTTTGGAGTCTTGTCACCATAGCTACCAACAAAATAAATATTAGAGACCTTTAGATTCTAAGACGAGTACGACTACGAGGACGAGATTTCCTCAATACTAAGTATTGCGTGCGCGTGAACCAGCGTCATTTTGGCGTGAAAACGTGATAGCCGACTTCATTCTGCTACGAGTTTTAGCGAGAATGTCGTAATGGCAGAAACGAGTTATCAAATGTTAGAAGTTTGATCATTTTGTGATCGAGAGAGGGCTTAACCTCCATCCTTCAACAGTATAGATAACAGTGCTATCTTTTCTAATAAAAAAAAAGTACAATGAAGCTTTCCGGGGTGTGAAAAAAAACTTTAATATTCTTGACGGACCTCTTAGGAAACACTTGTTTACTCGTGATGGGTGCATTTTCATCCGGTTTGTTTGTTTCTGTGTTTCAAGGTTCGTTGCTTTGGATCACCCTGTTTCGGACAATAATCGATCAGTTTTCTTGGAAGATTTTTCAGATCTTTCTTATTCTTGTCTTTTGCAAGAAAAAGGCAATGTCTACCTCTTGCCCTCGACAAAAAATTCCACTCATCATCGCGAATTCCTTCGCTATTCTTGAGCAGTCTTCAGTCGACATTCTCAATTTTGCTTTGACGGGCCAAGCTGGGCGAGCGCGTTGCATTGTGATTTGCATTAACCCCACCCACGCTCAAATGATTGACGGAACAGACAACCGATTTGAAGTTTGCAAACGCGCAGGGCGTTACAACGAATTCGGCTGTAAGGTAAGGTGGCTGAACACCGTTTTGTCAGTTATCGAGTATATATCATTTGCCAAATCATGGCAAGAGAAAGGTTGAGGTTAACAAGCTGAAACTTGGCAAGTGAAAAATATACTGATGAAAGATTTTGATTGACAGGTAATTTATTTTAACACAACTCAAGGAAACGCGGAGATCTATCCTCTACCGGGATCTAGTCCAATACATTAGGGTCATTTGTTAGCCACTTGTGTAATTTGAATCCTCCACGGCGCAATAACTCTGTCATCTGCTTCCGCATTTCAATAGCTTCTCGCAAGTCAGTAGATAAACAGCCTTGACGCCGAGGGGCAGATCTACCCTGTTCTCATCTGCATTACGCCTCATCGTGTAGTTAGCCCGAGATGGCGCCGACACTTCTCCTAAACTGTTCTCTCAAACTGATAACCACTTGGTTCTTCTCAGGTAAACGCAACATGTGGTACATTTCTCTCACGTCTGCTGCTAACGCTATCCTTCTTTCAGTTCGCAAAATCTAAGCAAAACACCAAACAACGACGACAAGTAGTCTGGTTCTCTGTACATTTTATCATTTAGCCTTTGACACCTGAACTTCGCTGATGCATCATATACTCTCCTGAGACGATCAGGTGTCTTGGAAGTGATAACGAAACGGAGCTGTAAGTACCAAGTCACTTTGCTGTTAGCCTGCGATCATGCTCTCTCCCTTTGTCTCTGTAAACTGCTTTCGGGAGGAGGGCATGATACAGTTCTTTTACAGATCACATGCAAAAAAGCCAGAATCTGGACTTTTTTCTGATTGGATAGGAAACAATACGGATGATTTGCGCTGTTCCGATTGGCCAAAATACCTCCATCCGTTAGTTGTTGTTGATTTTCAGTCTGCATTTTTGCTTGCGTATATAGACACGCGAGTTCGTTATCAAATTTCTGCCGGCTCAGTTTTTTTGAATTTGAAGAATGTCTAAATAGAAATTTCATCCATTGAAATATTTTCATATTGCAGTCAAAAATTCACAGATCATTTGAATGCAGTTTGATACCGGCTACCAGTTACAGAGGCGACAAACGGGTTCACTTTTCAAATAATCAATCCATGATTGGAATCTTGACCTGGTTTGACGTTAATTCCTCCTTCAGAACCCTGCGAATTATTCTGAGCGATCTTCGCTTTCACAACACTTTTCATTTCGTGAAATCAACGAGCTTTTACCAGTAAATTCTTTATTATTTGTAGCTGTTAAATAAAGGTACGGCAGCTCCATGTCATCACAAAAAAAAAATATATATATTTTTGGGAAGCGCCATCTGAACATTCCCGCCAAAATTTGATTCCCGTCTGGTAAACGCTGATTGCGTGACTCAGGATGTAACAAAACACTTATGGAATGAAGAATTGGCTAAGTCACTTGGTCTTAGGGTGTTAATGCAGAGAAGGTGTTGACCTTGCGGCACGTAAAGAACTTCCGTATTTTGCTAGAGTTGAAAGTACTTCACCCCTTCTCTTCCAACTCTAGCAATACGGAAGTTCTTTACGTGCCGCAAGGTCAACACCTTCTCTGCATTAACACCCTAAGACCAAGTGACTTAGCCAATTCTTCATTCCATAAGTGTTGTGTTACATCCTGAGTCACGCAACGCCATAACTTGTTGCTTCCCCTTTCTATGAGAACAGAACTACAAGCAGCACCTCAACCAACGCACGACTGCCAACCTCGCAGCCTAAACTCACCGAGTGATGACACTGCTCCAACGATTTCTCTGACGGATTTAGAGGTTTGTTATCACCCTGCGGAGCAAAAGGTTTCTGGGCTCCTTCACCAACTGCCAGTTTTTCTGCTGTTCTCGCTCTTGATCGTTCAATAATGTTCAAGTCAACCTCATGAACTAGAGTATGGTGACGCATACACATCCCTCAACTTTGCATCCATTCTTAGCATTGCATTTGTTCAGCCGATGGCCCGGTAACAGACAAGACCGGCAAAGTTTATGTTCCTCCACGAGTTTCTCTTTCTCAAGAGTGGGCAGTTCCTTAAACTTCTTACCCTCCTCTACCTCATGATATGCCGAGCTATGAACTGGACAGTTTTTTGTTAACTTTTAATTTCATCACCTGAGGGAGTCTCTTGTGTTGCTCCCACCAACAGTCCTGGCACCGCGGGATTGCCAGCAGACCTACGTGAACCACTTTTAGTTAAATCACTCCTAGTCGAATCAAACCTTCTCCATTCTGGCTTCTCCAGTATCCACCTCTGCTATGACTCGCATATTTTCGCCTCCTTTTCTAGCCAATCCGCAAACGACTACCAGGTAGACCGTTTCGGTTTTCCTTCCACAGACTCAGCCCATCTACCGCAAAGACTAACAGGAAGCTTAGCAACGTTTGCTTCAGGTATCTGCGAGTTTAACTCATGAACAAAGTTGTGTTCCCTATACACCCCCATTAACTCCGACACCATTTCTTGATACTGCCTCATCTGCTAACTATTTTCTTTCACTGTGATTGGGAATTGATCTTCACGCCTTTTAGCCGCGGACACAACAGTGTCCACGCGACCAATGCCATGTCTTCTTATATTTATCAGAACTTGGCATGAATTTTACCAACCAGGACTTTGCACTTTCTTTCTCTGCATCTAACAGAGATTTAAGCTTGTCTGTAGCATCATAAACCTCCTTTTTGTCAACTTCCACTTTAAATGCTACTTTAAATTTCGAGTACTCGATTGGATTTCCGCTAAATTTTGGCACACTTGGTTTGACAATTTTAGTGAACGCTGAAAGCATTTTCTCAAAAAATTGATCTAGCTTGACTTGTTGCTCACCTGGGCTCACTGTGGCAGGCGGATTTCAAATTGTATTTTCGCCTCGAGGTTTTCTTGTCTCCGGTTTTACATTTGGCGTAATTTCTCCATTGTCATTGCCTTCTTCAACGCCTTGAACGGTTAAAGATTCTTTATCAACGGGACGCTTATCATCAGCAACAGTCTGAGTGTTGGAAGCTGACTTCAGATGTAAACGTGAAAGACGATCCTCTACATCGGCAATAGGTAGTCCAGACAAAACTTTATCGTCAATATGTCCATGATTAGAATCCTCAATAGCAAGATCATCTTCGTGAGCCACTTCTAATGTTGTTTATTCAGCTCTCCTTTTAGTGAACGATCGTTTACGTCCCGGAAGGGACGGCGTTTTGGAGGGGGGGGTACAATTTTATAAGAGGCTTGATTTTGGGGGGTCAATTTTGAAAATGCACAGAATGTGAGGGGGTCGAAATATTAAGACACAAAGACACGGGACTGGCCTTCTATGTAAAATGTGTCAAACTATATTATGATTGAAGCAAATCGAGGTTTCCTTGGAAAGAAGACAAAAAATACACTTTGGTGGCTTTGTCGGCAACAAAATGTTACCCGTATAAAGCTCGGCCAAGGAACCTATCAGCTATTTCTCCTACCAGGAATGTAGCATGCATGTACGCACATACGCCTATGCATACAGCCGAAATTTGGAAAAAATATAGATTATATAGATCTTTTTAATTTCCTGAAAACGTTTTTATCATTAATTTCGGGATAAATATTTTGCATTATATTGGTGTTTTTGTGTTAGGATTCCCTTTATCCTTTTTCTGACTAAGTGGAGTGAAATGGATCCGAATGCGAGGCCACAAACCTTGGTTAAGACTTTTGACGAAGCCAACTCCGATTCAATCGCTGAGTATATGTCATGGGCTCTCATAACTTTGTTGACTTATCCTATGTCAATGTACACAGCTGAGCGTAGCTTCAGCGGTTTGAAGAGACTGCAAACTCCATTAAGAGGACCAAGACAGACGAGAGATTGCATAATGGATCTCTCTTGCAATTCTGCATATGAGCACAAGGACGTAATTTATATTGATGGCATTATAACAGAGTTTGCCTGTCTGAAGGGTACGCATCTCGCCCTTTGCTTGTAACCTCCTTTATGGCGTCACTGTTTTACCCTTTTTGCCGTTAACACTGTACCTTACTGATAACACTATAGATGAGTAAAATAAACAACTTATTACTGCATTTTCCTTCGTCTTTATTTACTGAGAATGTCCTGCAGAAAACGCAGGAGATGGCATCTCCTGGGAGACCCTAAATTTAAAAATATTTGCGGGGGTAGCACGCCCCCAGACTCGCTCAGGTTTGTGGCGCCTTCGGTGCGCTAACTTTTCTTCCCCTGCGTGCACCTTCAAAATCTCACGATACGCTGCTGACTACCGGTATCTTGCATCTTATGAAATCAATGCCCAAGGATGGAAGAAGAGACTTTGGCTAGAAGGGGTTGATTGGGGGAGGGGGTGCATTTTAAAAATTTTTATTGCCAAGGGGGGTACAATTTTCATATGTAATAATTTTTTGGGGGGTGGGGGGGAGGTAAAGTTTTGAAACACAACACTTTTCTGAAAACCCACGCCCCCCTCTGGGACGTAATAAACGATCGGTCCCTTAAGGTCTAGCAGCTCGACACGTCGCAACGCCTGGGCACGCAGTAGCCTGACTGATTTCTTCTTCACACTTTTGCTTGGCTATTTTTAACTCAAGGGCGAGTTTTGCTGCTTGAGGTTTCTTTCTCACAATTGAGGTTTTACTTGCTTTGGACGTACTGTTAGACTCGCTGGATGGAAAAAACTTCAGTGTTCGGTCTCTCTGTCCGTTTGAAACACTCATTTTAATTTAGGCACAATTGCAAAATCACTTTCGAGGTTCCCGCGTGTTGCTGTTGTTTGCTTTACACGGTTTGACAAGAATCTCACTCGGTGGCTGAATAACGATAGTGAATTACCTACTTTTATCTCCTGTTCACATCCTAATCTGCTGTAAACACACTGTTGTAATAAAACAGAATTCGAAAGGCGTCAGTAATCAGAAACAGAAACAGGCAAAAAACTGCAATTTTTACCTCTTTTCCGCTCAAGTTTAATTGCCTAATGGCTGTTCAACATAAAAGCAACGTTTAACAGGTTAAAAATCGGTAAAAAAAAAAAAATACGTACGTAATCCTCACTACGCGAATATCCTCGACTACTCCCTGTAGCGAGCGACCAGACGACGGACCACGATTCACCGGCTAAAAATGTCTACGCATGCTCTGGAAAAAATGACACGTGATCGATTTCGGGTAATGTCATTGACTCCGAGGCGAAAATGCCCGCGAGATGTTGTTGAGATGAAAGAAGAGATGGCAGCTTTGTTTGGCAATGACAGCATTGCAATTTCTTGCCACTGTAAGAGATCAAAAATTATTTTGGTCAAAGTTTTGACGTAAGTGTGTTCTCTAGAGAATATAGCGTCCTGAAACTGGCGAAAAATCGCATTGGCATGGTACGATTCGGTGCTATTGGCGTTGAGATCGCTGGTTTGCATTTGGAAGACATGCCGAAAAGGTGGTAATTTTTGCTCTTTTTGTTTACTGCATGTTCCGTGCAACTCGGTACAAAAAGAAATTATAAAGTAGTGGAAGAAAAATTATTGGGCTTTGTTTTGGTATATAAATTAGCTTGTACCGAGTTGAGCGGAAGGGACAGTTTTGTTAAATGTGTATCCCGTTTTTTGTGTCAAAATTCGACTTTGATCGTGAATCTAACATTCGATAACATTCGACTGTTGATCGAAGAGCGTATTACAATGCTATCCAAAATGTTTTTGTTGTTTAGATCAAGTTTCTTATCAGGGATTCAACAAAAAAAAGTAGAGGGACAGACATTTTGGGCTTTGTTTTGTTAATATGACTTAGCGTGTACTTTGTTGCTGGAAAATCTATTTTTCTATCTCCGCATGTCTGCACTGTTTATGGCCGGAAAATACGCTTACGCTTGGTTCAACTTAATCTCTTGTCACTCCGTACAAAGGGAAATTATAAAGAAGGTAAAGAAATCTTAGCGATTGTCTTAATGTGTAAATTGACTTGTGGCTAGTGGATCGAAAGCGGCCGGGTTCCGACAGTTTTCTAGGTGCGTAGTTCGAAACGTGATTTTGTCGATCGATGCAAATTTCATTGTTGTTGGACGTTATTACAGCTTTGTACGTTACCGTATAGAAATTTGAGTTTTATGCGAACTGTCAAATGAGAAAATGTGAGAGTATTTTCATTAAAACACTTAGATCGTCTTGGAGCTACAGTTCGATAGGTCCAGCAACATTCTGATTGGTGAAAAAAATTCTGTTTACAATGTGCGCAGCTGCTGTACATTTAGGCTTGCAATTTTATACTTGACGGATCGAAGTTTAGATTATTTTGCTCATAAAATTTGGCTTGGGATTATCCACACAACGAGTTACTTCGTTAGGAACCGCACTTACGTACATGATTTCCTCCGTGTACAATTTTTTAGTACTAAATTTTTGCACACAAGGCTTTCTGTCGGGGGTGCTTCTTTGCTTGAAAATTGGATCCTGGAAGGAGATGAACAGGGTAATATTCCTGTGAATTCTTTTGTTTTTCTGTCCATCCTTTTCGGCTTAATTTTGTTTGGCGCAAAGTTATGAATGAATTATAGAGTTAACATGCTATTAAGTATTCAAAAGGTCTTTCCGAGAAAAAAAAATAATCCTCACAAATTAAACTTACAGGAGTTTAAAGTTTGGAGCAAATTTTGAGTCATAACGAAATTTTAGTTGCATGTTGATGAATGCAGTTGAGTAGGATATGCAGTTTCCAATTTTGATCTTCTGTCAGAATTATGAGAGAACACTCAAATACAGATCTCATTCAAACATTATAGTTTCATTGTAATTATCGTTTGTTTCTTTTCCAATAAACTTCTCATCAGGTCTACATTTTGTATCAATTTAATGTGATATATATTTGAAGGGGTTGTTGTTTCACAGTGAAGTATTTTTCACTTTGTTTTTTTGATATGAAGTTGAGTTTCTTCTTAGTTGTTGGCTAAGGCAGTGTTGAAGTATCTGACATGTTAACATACTTCATTGTTCATTTCTCTTCAGAAAAGATTGATTGATCCTGAATCAAACAAAGTGCAGCTTCAAAAACAAGATTTTTGACGAACAAATGTGTACTCAAGCAAATTATATGTCCCTGACAGTGTCAATAAAATTTATTAATGGAAAGATCTGGGTTTCTACTCCTTCGTAGCACTTTTGACTACGCATCACTTTTCTAACCTATATAGTAAAAAGATCATATAGTATAATCAGTATTTTTTCCAACTAACATATTTGTAATCAAAGTTCTCTTCTTTTATATGTAGTATTCCCCTTATTCGGATCAAGCACAGTAAACATTGAAAAGAAAAAAGAAAGAAAAACCTGCTCGGTCATAGACGACTTTAAAGTTTTGATATTAAAATTGCGATGAAAAGAACATGAATGCAGACACTACAGTTCATTTAGCTCATGTTCAAGATTGTTTCTATAAATTTCTTGCTGGAGTAAACATAATTTTGCTTTATCTTTTCGGTAAAAAAAAAAAATAATAAAATAACTTCCAGGTGTCTAAGCAATTTCAAAGGACCCTAGTGTCTTATTCCTCCGCTGCAGTGACCTGTTAACAAAGGCCGTTCTTTCTAGTTACCTGGCTTTCATCCCGAAAATATTGTTGTCCTTCCTGATCGTGAAGAGTTCAAGGTTGAATGCGGTAAACCTGCCAAAACGCGAGCATCGCAGGGAACGAATCCCACAGGAATAGGTGAAAAAGGATAATAAAAAGTCTAGGCTATTCTAAAAATATCCGTATATGCATTTACAACTCATATTAAGGTGATTCCCTGGTAAAAGAACCTAACATAGATTGTAGATGAAACTTGGTACACTGATGTAACAAGTCAAGAAGATGATAAAAAGGTAATAAAAACTGGGGGTCACCGTGTTCGTTTTGACGTCACAATGCTGACAAATACGGCTATTTTGGACCCTTTGACAAAAGCCGCGCGCAGCCCAAAACTAGACAAAAAGGAAAGATTTTTTCAATGATGCATGTGGTATCGCACAGAATTTGACTTTAATGTATTGTTTATCCACTTACGTCAGAAAAATGTCTTTTAATGCCCTTGTTTTTACTTAACGCTCTAAAGTAGAATTAAATTGGACACGCGCTATTCGACTCGTGATAGCTCAATCCGTACAATTTTAGTAAAATTGCGAAAAAACTGAACTTAGATTTGTGCCAATTTTTTTCTCACCAAAAGGAAGCACTGTCCTTATTAAAATCATGAAATAAAAAATGGGGGTCACCGTACTCGTTTTTGCGGTAGAGCTGCAGAAAGTGCGCACCAAATGCATTTTCCTTGATTTTTGAGAGAGGACTGGGGCGAGTTTCAAAATAGAATGTATGCGAAAGGGGGAAGAAAGTATTAAAAAATCCGTTTGTACAGAATTTACATCGAGATACCACATTTAGGACACAATGTGATAAATAAAGCGTTTGAATGAAAATCAAAGTAAATAAGCAGAAATTAAACATCCACTATCGAGGTTCTCCGTGAGGAGGTCGAACTCAGAAACACGCGTACTGCTTACGTTATGCACATTCCCACCACATTGAGTCTTACCTCGGCAAGAAACAACCGCAAGCAAAATTGCAATAGCGTTTCTCTTCGGTCAACTTCATTTTAATATTGTTACTTCACATGCTCTTTTTTACGGAGGTTATCTTGTTATGCGCAGTCCAAAACCAGGGAATCACCTTAAGCCGCAATTAATCTTCTTTCCACTGAAATAAACAAACGATGGAGGTATTGCCGCCATTTTAATTTGGCAATGTCACGTGGTCGCGCGTCGACCAATCCGACGTTTTTCGCCGGTGAACGGACCGCGAAACACACGTGCTAACGAGCATGCGCAGTAAATCTCGAACCAGGTCCGCGCCGTGTATTACCGTAGTCTATAGTCCCAAGAGCCATGTAGTCCGCAGTGACCGTATCTTGTACTCGCTAATAGCTAACTGGAGAGCACCAGGAAGGCTCTGTGATAATATAATCTAGTTTGGGAATCTTTCAAATAATGGCAATTGAGCGAAAGCCAACTAGCCTTCTGTAAACTTTCTTATAAAGAAAGAATTGAAAGTTTTTTTTTTCCAAAATTAATGCCGTGCGTATTCGCTAAACGCTACTGTCAACTCCATTCGCAGGTGTGCACATTAACTGTAAAGTATAATAAGTCCCTACCCTGTGGTTGTCGTGGTAACAATGGCCCACCATAAGCCTTCTTGCGTTCCGTTCTTAAACGACTTTGGAAAGTGTCTGGGGTTTGTTTTGTGATCCTATGATGAAAAAAACGCATTAATCGTTATCTGGCTGAATAATTTTAAAGTATATATTTTGCGATGTATTGTATATACAGTAACACTCTTAGATTTTGCTATTATATACGGTAAAGAATTACGTGTGCACAGTTTTAATGTTTTTTTAATTTTCAGTTTCTTCGCCTTAACTGAGCAAAAACCGTGGAACCCGTAAATTTAACAACATAAAGTGTTACATGACTAAATATAGCACTGGCAAATTTATGCCTCAAAAAGTTAGTAATTAAGCGTTTTGCACGAATGAATAGATGAATAAACATGTAGTAAGGCCGAGTGATGGCACTCGTCCGGCAATTAAATTGGTTCTCGTTTGGCCTAAACGCATTCCTTTTATTCAACTATTGAGTGATCTCATATTACTACTCTTGGTTTTTAAAAAGAGGTATAAGAGTAGAAGAATTTTTTGCAAAACATACCAAAAACCAAACGATTATTCCTGATAGGACAGCAGCCAAAAGGCAAAAGGTAAGTAGTTTCCATGTCTGACTAAGAGCAATGAAAACATCTCTCGCGGTGTTTGAGGAAATTTCTTTCTTAGCCAGAACAGGAGAGGGAAGGAATTTCAATGTCAAGTTAGGCCGAGGATCGTAAGATATCACAGGAAACGAAACATTTATCGCCCACTTGCAAGTGGCATTTTCTGTAAGTGGTGACACATTTGTGGCTTCAAGACCATCAGTTATGTAATTGCAGGCGAGCTCTTTCCACTTCTTTTCACCACCAGGAAGAAAACTGAAATTAAACTTTTTCCAATTGAAGTTCACACATGAGCAATTAATTCTTCGTTCTTCAAATGTACCAAGAAGGTGCACATTCATATTTAGAACAATGAAAACAAAGTAAAGCCACTCGACAGACATTTTTCAGAAGGAACATGAATTTTCCTTCCAGCGAGTATTCAGCTAGAGTTCTAGCAAAGTGAGTATTCCAAATGAACCAATAGCGAAATAATCTATTTACTCATCTACCAACTGCAACAACTTCAGAGCCAGGTGTTATGACGTTCCTACTGCAAATGAGCTAATTGTAGAAAAAACAGAAGGTTCGTTTTCAAAGGCCAATGTAAACACTTCTATGTCATCATCAAATTTGGCGTCTATAACCCTGACAAGTTTTCAATTAATTAAAGGCTTAACTGAAAACGTGCCAGTGTTATTGACGCGAAATTTGATAATGCCATAAAAGTGTTTACATTGGCCTTTTAAAATAAACCTTCTGTTGTTTCGACAGTGGAACCTCAGTATAACGAACCTCTATATAACGAAGTCCTCTCGGTATAACGAACGATTCTTTTTCCCCCGCCCAGAGGTAGTAAAGAAAGTGAAAAAAAACCTCGATATATAAAGAAACCTCGCTATAGAGAAAAAATTTTGACAGTCCCTTGGCAATTCGTTTCATCGAGGTTCCATTGTAGAGTAATTCATCTATTGTTTTGTTTGATATTTTTAAGGTGGCCCGAACCTATTTATGTGCGCGTTGGTTATGTTTTGAATCACGTTTTTCGGGAGGAACGGTTTAACCGATTTCTATGATTTTTGGCACACTTAACATAGAGAATGATGCAACTTTAAGAAAATCATAGAAATCGGTTAAACCGTTTCTGCCAAAAAACATGATTCAGAAACATAACCAACTTACATATAAGTAAGTTTCATGTAAGTAAGTTCACGACATTTTTTTCTCTGTGCCAAATTGTCAGAAAACTGTAACAAAGTATCCCAGTTTATATTCCATGTCATTTTCGCATTATTTTTTAATATTTTATCTAGCGGTAATATTGTAATAGAAATTTTAAAATAACCATGTCTGTGTTGTCTAGTCTTAATTCGCTACAGAACTCGAGAAATTTCCAGTGAATAACCAAATCCCAGCCTCGTGCAAAATGTATATGTATACTGCCTTCTAAGCTTGATTTCAAACGTTAAAAACAACAAGAAATAAACATTGAAAAACTGTTAGGATAAAAGGTTTTAAAAAACCAAAATTGCAATCCGTTTCAACCTTCTTCAAGTTTGTCCATCCGTGCCTTTTGTATTTGCTATGTTACTTATTCCTTCTTGATTCAGTTCTGAGCGCCGGTTATTTTTAGAGGGTCTGAATGGGGTTAACCGATTAGTGACAAACGGGCAAAAAATGTAACTGATGACGCGACAAAATGAGAAAAAAAGTTACCCAACGACCGAGGACAAGAGAAACAAATTAACTGACAAATAACATCCAACGTTGTAGGGATATTTGTATTATAATGAGAAATATGTCAAGTTTTTTTTATTTGTTTTGTTTGTGTTTTTTTTTTTTTTTTTTTTGCTATAGGCGGCCATCTTGACCGAGTCTAGCTTGAACTACTTAAAGGGCGGGGGACGCTTTGGGAACCCTGAAGCCCGCCCTCTCGGTACTGATTTGAATCCAATTACAAATGGCTGCCAGTGAAAGTGAGCGCTCGATATCGACGATCTTAAGGAAAAATAAGGGCCGTTAGCCAAAGAAAGTTGTAATAAAACAGTCATTTGTTTAGGTTCCGTAGGTTCCTCAGGTTCCGCGGTTCCGCGGTCTGCAGTTCCACAGATTAGTCTTACTAAAAGATAGCATAGAACAGTTTACTTTCCTAAGTAATGTTTCTTCAATTTCCAAATAATTTGCTTTAAGGATAAATTATGCCACGTCCCTTGTACGAGTAGCGAGGTTCCTGAGTACAAGATTGATGATTCTCTAAGTGGTTTCCCGTAGTAAGAAGAAATAAATTGAAGTTTGTTCCTAGCAACCATTTTATGTTTTAAATTGGTCTGATTAATCCATAATCATTTACTTTATTTGCATCCGTTTGTCAGAAACGTCGACAGCATTAACATTAGCTAGCCCAAGTAGCTTGTTTGCTGCTAAAACGCTGATAACACCTAGTTAACCTGTAGTTAGGAAATAGTGCCGATATCAGTTTTCTAATTATATTGGGTATTCACCTTTTGGCAGCTGCTATCAGGTTAAATTATCATTGTATCGAAACCCAACGTCTCCTCGAAGAAATTCTGTTGAGAAGATTGAACTTGTTTTTACGGTTCTGACTCTGAGCATGCACCTTCTTGGTCTTGCTGAACAACGACGTAATTCATTTAAAAACTTTTATTAAAAAGTTAATCCCTGGGCCGGGTTCTTCAAAGTTGGGTTAAGATAACACAGGTTTAGTACAAAATTTGAATTCAGATCATATAAAAAGTTTAAAAGAGTAAAAGTTTATATTGACATTTTTACTGAATATTCAAATCTTAATTTAAACCTCTGCTGTGTTAGATTCCGCATAGTCATTTTATTATTATTATTATTATTATTATTATCATTTTATAACTTTTTACGAGCAAAGCTTGGCACACAAATCATTGTCATTGAGTTTCTTAATTATTCCGTAAGAGAAATTGATCCAATATTAAGAAAGGCTTATTGCGGCACACAGTGGATAAAATAGTGTGTGCAACATGAGTGAGGTTGTTGATCGATGTCCACTGTTCGCATTGACGTATGTTTATAACAGGGGCGGATATAGGGGGAGGGTGCAGGGGGTGCGCACCCCCCCTGGGATGACCTGCGGTTTTCTAATACAACTGGTATTCTGCAAAAAAAAAACTATGTGGTTTATTGGTGTTGAAGTAGAGCAAGAGACGAGTGCACCCCCTCCTAAAAAAAATCCTGGATCCGCCCCTGTATCAATAACGTTAAATTCAGAGACAGTATTACTTTTGGGTGTTATAAGATCGAGCTTTCCCTGGATACCAGGGAAACTGTCCCGGCTTTGTAATGAAGAGTTTGTAAAGTAAGCTTCGACTGTATTTTTCTTCTGACCAAAACATATTAAACATATATATCTACTAATATTTCCACAATTAGAACTATGGTCAATTGTTTTTCTATATATTAAAGTTTGACGCAAACCTGACAAATATTGCGTTCTTAATTGCAACATTTAAATGCAAACGCTCCTCCGAGAAAGAGCGTATGATAATTCAGTATCATTGGTACGTGATGTTTGCGAAAGCCTTCTCACCATCTGCTTGATACATTCTTCATACACAAATTTCAATAATGAATTAAAGTTGCTTCGGTGAAGAATGATGCATGATCAATGTTTCATAGCCCACGGTACATATTATAGGTGCAAGTTTAGTAAATTACATGCCCATAACGAGCCTAGAAATCTAGACAGCAAACGCTACTGACCGCTCCAGTGCTATGTCAGCAGAACGTTAAGATAAATTCTTCAAAACACTGAAATCTAGGCCTTTAGCAGTTACCGCTTTTTAAGGTGGCTCGACTGGAATTTTTTGGGGGGAGACCTCCCAAGTTTGAGCATTAACTACGTCGCCATGAGTAACGATAGGGCTAAAAGATTACCACAACTGTATTATATAAACATGAAAATTTCTTATGATCTGGGTTTTATTGCAATCGGAGTCACCATGGCAACGTAACAACGCCATTACGTTTTTTATTTTATGTTTCTCTGTACCGGGAGTTTTTTTAAGAAATCGGTTGAGGGAGTTTGTACCTGCCATAATTGCCTCAATTATATCAAAGTTTAAACAATTCTATGAGAGCGTTTTCGAAATAATTTGAAACAAAGTTTTAAGCATAATAAAAACAGTGAAATAGAATGCTATCAACACAATTAGCTATTTTTTTAAGAAAATGATAAGCTTTGGAAACGCAGCTTCATCTTATAGTGGCTTAATTCCATTGAAAACTGCGTACAAGAAAAGAGGGGAATTGCTCTGGGCGATTGCGAGTAAGAAGAATTTTATTATCTTGCATTCCGCTGCTTTTGTTACAGTTTTTGCACGTAATTTGGTCCATGCCTACAATTTTCGCATTTTTCAAAAAACCGTTCGATAAATTTTTTTATAAATTTGACAATCCCGAGATCAATTGCCAATAAATGTACCCTGCACGTTTCAAGAACATTGAAAACAGAGAAGGCTTTTAAATAGGGCCTCAAATATAACCAATTTTTCCCCCAGGTTTTGTGTTTACAAGTGAGCGGCCTCATTATTCACTGGCATTGTTTCCACGTGCACGTGCACATTTAGCAAAAAGAAATAAATTTGCACCCGCTACAGGTTAAGGCACCGCAACCGAGAGGACATGGGGAAGAGGTTGAGTTGTTTTGGTGGTGAAAAAAATGGCGGACATTTCACTCGTTTCACGAGTAAGAACTACAGCTGGAACTAGGCGAAATAATAGCTAAAAACATGGCAAAAACAGCAAGAAGACAACTCGGAGGGCGACATCTGCTTTTTTGGAGACTATTTGCGGCGCTGGACAAACCTAAACGTACACTATCGAAGATGCGTCGGTGCAGGTAAGCATGTTTTACGTACGTTTTTAAACTAGGAATTATTTTGAATGAATAATCAAGCAATTAATGAATTCAGCTTTCGTAGGATATGAAGAATTAAGCAGATCTCGGAGGGTGTTATCCACCGAGGCCGAAGGCTGTGGTGGATAACACCCTCCGAGATCTGCTTAATTCTTCATATCCTACGAAAACCGAATTCATTAATTGCTAAATATATCTGCATAGTAGTGTAAACTGTTCAATGCCATCTTGAAAAGTATCAAACTTTTCCCTTCT